CCATAGAGTATGTACAAATATAGAAATACATTCAGAAGTCACAAGGATAGATTAACCAATCAGACACAAAAGAGACATAGCATTTTAAATGCCTGTAAACCATACACTACGTACTTTGTATTTTACTCTGTTCCTGGTATTTCACGTAAATAAGGTTTTTTTTTTTTTTTTTTTTTTATAGAGTGAGGCCTGGCCTTGGTTTTTATTGAATAATTATGCGTTACATTATTTAAATGGATTTCATGAATTTTTACAGAGACCTACAGCTAGGACTAATTTATTCTCGGTCCAAAGCTTTACTAAAATGGGCTACCTGGCCTCCACTAGATTTAGTTTAGCTATATATGATGAAGATATATTAGTTGTGGGGAACAGAGTTTCCCATTTGTTATATTTAGTTGTACTAATGTGCTATATAGAAGGGTGAGTCAAGGTTATAGCAGTAAATGTATCAGTAAGGGTTTATTCTGATGTATGCTTTTACAGCATTCTAGCCATATATATTTAGTTGATATCTTATATAAGATTTTAACAAATGTTTTGTTGTGGGTTGAAGTGATGGTCTGGATATCCTTTGGAATTAATCCTTTTAGTAGCAAGGTATTAGATGTGTCTATACCATTTACGAAAAAATGTTGTACTAGTGTTGCAAGGTCTGGTAGCTGGTTATTATGTTTTGAACAGTATTTTATAGCTGTCTTTGTTATCAGTTGGTGTAGAGTTGTTGGGTTTATTAAGCAGATCAATCAATAGGTGCTGTCTTTAATTGATGGTGCATCTGTTACATGTTGGGTTTGTATATTTCTTTGGATATTGGTAGTGTAGGTTGAGTAATGTTGGTAGCTCATTTAATAGAAATTTAATTTTGAAGTTCTTTTTTTGTAATAGTTTGGGTGTGTAAACCTTGTATGCAGTTTGTTGTTATAGTTAATGAATTGGTGAGTACCATTTCAGTTTGTGTTTTGTCAAATCTCTCGCCAACTATTTGTTTTGTTAAGTGAATACCACTTAGCAGTGTTTATAGCATTTTGTAAATGTTATATAAATCTGCAAGTTTTGTGTTCTACTGGTATATTATTCTATGTCAAGTAGAAGTTACTGTTATCTAGTGCAAATAGTATAAGTTAGATTCTGTGCTGCTGTAGAGGTATGGCTAGCTGCATTGTCTTTTGAAAAAGTGGGTAGTTTACTTTTTGGTCTATAAGAGTAAACTGTATAGTTAAATTTTTTTATGCAATGAGAATCTAAATGTGTTGCTTAAGAGGTCAATAGTTGTGTTTTTGAATAAGAATATTAAGGTTGTTTGAGTATTATATAACTAAATTAACATACTTTATAGTTGGTATATATAGTTATCTTACTATTATGTGAAGCAATTAAGAGGATTGATATAACTCCAATAAGGTATGCTCTAGTAGTAGATGGCTAGTATATTATTGCTACTGAGAAAGATATATTAGTTGATAAAAGAGTTCAAGCAAAGCTTGCTTGGCTATTTACAGTATTTGTGTTTGTTGTATTGGCATATAAATATAGCTGTAGGTTTTTTGTTTAGAAGTTGATTTTGCTAAGATATTGAAGGCAAGATAAGGCTGTGCTTATTGTCATAGTGACTTTGGTTATACAGGGTCTTCATTCCTTCTTAATTCCAATTCTGTTTGCTTGGCTATATACACAGAATAAGAAAATATTCCAGATACTTCCACCACTATTCAACACCTTATAACTATAACAACTACACAGTATCTTTATTAGAATAAATTTCCAAAGTAAAACTTAATTCTTTTTATTATTATTAAGATCATGATCTATATATTACAAGATTATTTTCAGATATATATTTATTTAGGTTATACACATTAGACCATCATCTAATTAGACTTTTAATTAAATTATACAAATTTTGATCACACCATTTATACAAGTCCTGATCCTAATCAGACCCCTGCAGAATAAATTCCCAGAGTACCAAAATACACTGTGACACAAGCTAGACTCCAGGAACTTTGTTCCAAAGTTTCAAACCTATGCAAAACAATTCGTCCTAACAGAAATTATACTCTTACAATACCTAACATTACTACCAAACTAATTCCACCTAATTACTCTAATAAATGCAATACATTGTTCATTTAACATCTATACAAACAATAAATTTTTTTTTTTCAACTGTATTAATAATTTGTTAGTTCAACTTCTGACAAACCCCAGCATTATACCTTTTAGCTTGCGCATATTCAAACAACTCCCAAATATCGCATTTTCCAATCAATCACAACTGATTATGTGATCAAGATACAATCATTTAAGAATTCAATTTTTCTACCATCACACACTTTGAGCTGTCTCTGTATTCAATTCATTTTACTATAGCACTTCATAGCCTTATTCTCTAGGCTCTGATATTGGCTTCGATTAATGCCACGTTTATCTATAAACAACATCTCATTTTCAATTGTTCTTTTGCTTACTTTATCAGGTACTGTTATCTCAGAATTTACATACTATTCACCTTCAATAGCTTTATCCCAGAGCATTCTATCAGTGGTTTTAACAGACTCTAAGTACTATTCAATTGCCTTCCTTTCATCTTTGGAAGTGCCTATACCTTTTTCATAGTATAATTCAATGTTGAGCCTCCTATTAGGATATTCACTTTCAGCTGATTTTAAAAACTATTTGAATGCTTTCTTTTCATCTTTATTGGAGTTCTCAGTGGCACCACTAATCTCACCAACATAATTAAGGCCTTCATGTTCAATCATTTTATTATCTTCACTAATATGAACCATTTCAGCAGATTTTTGGTAATGAATAAATGACTCATATTCATCCTTGTCAACTCCAATTTCATATTGGTAGCAATACCCAACATCATTTACTTCATTAGCTTTTCCCATATTAGCAGATTTTTGATGATAGTTGAAGGCTTTATTTTCATTCTTTTCAATGCCGATTACTTGTTGATAACAATCACTAGTAATATTTATTTCATCGGTGGCTCCCATCTTACAAGGTTTCCGATAATAGATGAATACCTTTCTTACGTCCTTTTCACTACCATTTTCATAATGATAACAATGTTTAACAAATGTTCCATTAGCAGCATTGGCAGGATTTTGGTAGCTATTGATTGCCTTATACCAATCCTCATCATTCTTTATTTCATATTAATAGCACTTTTTAGATTTATTTGCTTTACCATCTGCAGCTTCACCCCATCATTATTAATTATGAATTCTTTGGCACCATTCAATTTTCCTCATTTTTTCAATGTTTCTACCAAACCTTCCATCAATATATCCAATTTTGTGATCACATCTAATGGAGCCTTCATCAATACTATCATTTCATCTTCACTGACTTCATTGTCAAGTTCACCAGCAACTTCACTCTTTTGGGCTATTTCATCATTCAGATCAGATGAGTATTCAGGTTCTCCTTCATTCATTTTATACATTTCATCATTTTTCGCTATACTAACTATCACATCCTTTTCTTCACTTTTGTTAACATTCGATATATTAATATTATCTCTATTAGCAGCCTTCTGGTAATCAAACATTTCACTTTCATAATCTCTAATAGTTCCTTCATATTGTTCATATTAGCAGCTTTTTGATAGTAAATAAATGCCTCATATTTATCCTTATCAATTCCAGTTCCATATTGATAGCACAATCCAAGATCGTCTTGTGCTTTTAGGCCACCTTCAACAGATTTTTGATAATGGCTGAATGCTTTAGATTCATTTTTTTTATCTCTAACCCTATTTTGATTACTACAATCAACATTAAATATTCTATTACTATGTTCCATATCTGCAGAACTTTGATAATGCGTAAACACCTTCTTTTCAGAACTTTTTGCTATGTTTTTCTTTTGTTCCTCCTTTTACACTTATGATATCTTTATTGTCCATACTAACATTTACCATTCCTTTTCTTCTTAATTTACTTCCCTTAATATTCTCATGTCTCCTAGCACCATTGTTGTCTAACTCTTCAAACCTCATAAACCTTACATCATTCACTTCTGGGCTTCTTGTCGAACTTCCATTTCCAAACTTTTGAACTAGACAATTACAAATTATGTGTTCTTTCTACATTCGTAGCATAGCTGAGGTCTAAGGTGACGTCATTTCACTTGCACCAACTCCAGGTTTTTCATGATTTTGATAATTACTCTAACTACAACACCAATTAACAACACTAGGCTTTTGAACATTTTCTCTTTATTAACACCAAATAGATTCTTTGTTTTATCTCCTATTGCCCTTACCTATTCACTAACAATAACCTTTTGATTTTCTTTTACAATGTTTGATCACAAACTTTCAACACAACAATTGTCACCAGCATCTCTTAAATTACTGATCACAGTAAGTTTTACTTGCTAGGACTTTCTTCACACAACACAGTACAAGTCCAATTTCAACTAAATTCAGTGAGTAGAGCTGTTCAACTACCCAGGCTCTTGTGTTGTAGCAACTTCAATTATACAGAGTCTTCATTCCTTCTTAATTCTAATTCTGTTTGCTTGGCTATACACACAAAATAGGATAACATTCCAGATACTCCCATTATTATTCAACACCTTATAACTATGATGACTACACAGTATCTTTATTAGAATATATTTCCAAAACAAAACTTAATTCCTTTTATTATTATTAAGATTATGATCTATATATTACAAGATTATCTTCAGATTTATATTTATCCAGGTTACACACATTAGACTATCTTCTAATTAGACTTTTAATTAAATTATACAAATTTTGATCATGCTATTTATACAAGTCCCGATTCTAATTGGACCCTGTGCAATGAATTTCTGGAATACCAAAATACTCTGTGATACTATCGCAAATAGTTTATATAATAAGTTATTGGGAGTAATAGAACCTTGTGCTATATTGTTCTTGGTTAGTTGGTATGTATATTTTACATTTAGTGAATTAAGCTCAGAGTGGAGTTGTAATAGATTATTAATATCTGTATGAAGTTATTTTATACTAGTTACCTTAATAATAATACACTGAGTGATTGGAAGAGTAATAGTATATTGGTAGTATAAGTTTATAGCAGATGTATAAGTACAGATTTTATATTTAATTAGTAATATTTTAAAATTATTTATAGTTAATGATAGCACCCAATGTGTAATCTTAATTGGTTGTTAAGCATTGTTGTTTTGTTACTTGGCCTATTATGACTAGATTATTGTATTTGCTAAGTATTCATACTCCATATAAAAGTGTGTTATTGTTGGTTATGAATGGGTTTGAATTAACAGTTGCAATATATAGAATTGTTGAGTCTTAAAACATGACCTACAATATAGTAAACCATTTAAGGATGTGCTCTGAAATTGTTTTGTTTATCTTATATAGTATATAGTGCTATTAAAGGAGATATATATTAGTATGGTTGGTGAGCTGTTTTATAACATATATGTTTGCTTTGTTTATATATGTTTTAATATGGTGTGATTTTTTGCAATGTCTAATTAGTATATTAATAGGGGTTCTAGGATGTGTTATGCAGATTGGCCAAGAATTTGGTAAGTTAAGAATATTGATGTTAAGTTTATATACTGTGTAGATAGTTTATGCAGTTAGTATATTATGATATGTTTTTGGTAAGATAAACTGTGATGATTATAAAATATTTGTTGATGAATAGGTAGCATTTTGAAAGTGTAGATATATTTTTATAGGTTTTGCAGTAATGGGATTGTTGAGTTGATTATGCAAGACTAATATGTAGTTTTGTTCTTGTATGTCCTGTAGTTGTCTTAAGCTATAGATTTGGTGATAGAATGATATTAAGTTAGTGACTATTGTTGCTAGCCCTGCATTGTGTTTGACAACTTGTGTGTATTGATTAGTTATTATATGGTTGCTGTTTTCAGAAATGTATGTATTAAGTGTTCTATATAAAAATTATAGTATAAGTACTATATTTATTATGTAGATTGTCTGCTTTTCTGTTATCTTTTCTTTTTTAAAGTATTGATTAGATTGGTAGCCTCTTTTGTGATTTGTTTATAGATGTGTTTGTGATTGCTAGATGCTATAAACCAGCATCCTAAATATCAGAATGTTTCTTTAAGTAGTATATTGGATATGTTTATATTAGCGAAGATAATAGAAGGATTTGAATTTTTGGTGTTGTTGGTGACTAGAACTGATTTTGTAGGATTAACAGTAATATATACTATATCATAGAAGGATGAAATACAATTAACAATTTTTGAAGTATCTATTTATTAGGGCCTAGCTATAGGATATCATCTATATAGGCTTGTATAGAGGTATAGTATATTATTGGATTATGGTTAAGAGATAGTGTGATTATAGTATAGCTTTAGAATTTAGAATATATAGTAATGATGAGTGGATCATAGTAGATGCACCAGAGAAGAGGTGTAATAGTTTTGACTTGATCAATCCTATTATGTACTGGATAAGGCAAAGTTAGTCCAAGGTTTGTTATAACTGAGTTTTGGCAATCTGTAAGGATATTGATAAGTAGTTGTTGTGTTTAGTTTGGAATTTGTAGCCTGTTTAGTGCATGCTGAAGTAAAGGTAGATATACTGAGTCATATGCCTTGCTCATATTCTATAAAAGAGCCAAACCTCTTTGTTTTGGGTCTAAGCATCTTGCAGAATATTTGTAAGTATGTGGATTAGTTGTGTAGTAGAATTATATAGAGTTGCTACAAAGTTGTTTAAATAAAGTATTGGATACTGCATTATAATTTGGCTAAGCCTATTTGTAATAATTTTTATAAAGATTTTATGTGTATGCTCTATAAGTGTAATGGGTCTTGTATAGTTGACCAGTAAATATAGGTTTTTTAAATATAGGATATATTTTACTATGTTTCTATATTATAGAGATATCTGAGGTTTCTAAGTATTTGTTAAATAGTATTGAATAATTTGGTAATATGAGGGTGAATATGTTTCAACATCTCATTGGAGATGAGTGATGGTCCTGTGGCTTTATTATTAGATAATTGGTTTATAGTTTGGGTTATTTCCTATGTGTAATAGGTTGGGCTAATATCTGATATCAGGATAGATCTATATGATATTGTAATATATATTTTTGTTTTTATTGCTTCCAAAGTATAGAATCATTAGAATTGTACTTTGACCAATTTTTAAAGTGATTTCGAATTTTATAAAAATCTGTAATAATTAAATTTAGTAGCTTAATGTTTTAAAATATTACTGTATCAGTATGCTATCAAGAATACTATTAATTATTGTTGTGATATAAGATATAAAATTGTCATATCTTTTATTAATGAACTGATGGATATGTTGTGAGAAGGCTTGTTGGTTTTCTGTTTCCTATATCTGATTTAGAGTTTTTCAGTATGTTTTCATTATATTGATAGTTTGTGTAATATTGTCACTTGTAAATCTAGATCTGTAATAAGAAGGTTAGATAGCTGCTGTATAGTATAAATTTTTGATTAATTGCTTAGAGCATAGTGTTATAGTTATGCAAATAGTTGTTGGGGTTTTTAAGTAGCATTATCAAGATATGGAGTATGCTACTATATAAGTTTAGTACAGTATGCATTTTTGTTGCTTTAGATGAGAAGGTGTTGTGCTGTTTTTGTGATCACTGTGAAAAGAGTATGTGTAATTTTGCTGATTTGATAAAAAAAAGTATGTGTGATTTTGCTGATTTGATAATTGCTGTGTTGATTTAATGCCAAAGTTGATTGATTGAAAGTGTATTTGCTATTTCTTCTGTAATTTGAGAGGTAGTATTTTAGGTATTTTATGAAATTGTTCTCAGAGTTCAGTTGTCATAGTATCATATTTATAGACCTTAAACTTAGATTTCTTGTAGCATTTAGATGGGTTTACATATAGCTGCAAATCAGTATATATAATACAGTGATCACTGTTCATGACCTGAATTGCAGGAATAAGTATAGATTGTATAGCTAGGTGTGTAATTTGTTAGGTATCCATATTTTATAGATTTGACTAGAGAAGTTATCTTTACTTCAAGTAGGTGAATGAGTGTGATAAGTATGAACTAAAGGAATAAATTTGTGTTTTTTAAAGTATTTGTATAGTGTTGATCTTTGTTGTTTGTGTAAATCTTGGTTGAAGTCTTCTAGGATTATAGATATAATCTGGAATTAGTAGATTTGCTGGATCCATAAAATAATCTGGTCTTGAGTTTTATTATTTGTATATATATCCTTTGTTAAATATACTAATATAATATGAAAATTGTTTTATGTAGAAAGAATAAATTAATTGTGATAGCTGTGTCAAGTAATGTGTATATATATTGTGAGTGGTTGGGCTATTAAAATGGCTATACCTGCACAAGATTCTCTAGGATATAGAGCAGTTGTAGTTGAATTATTGGATAAGAAACATTTGTAGTACTGGTTATATAGGTTTCTATTTGTATATCTAGAATATACTAGTTTTGTTTTTGTAATTAAAATAATATCAAAATTTTGGGCTAAACAGTAGTCAAACAGTAATTGTCTTTTTGTAATCTGATTGAGTCCTTGATTTTGTGTGTAGCAATTGTAGATAGTTTGATTGTAGGTTGTATTAGTATGAATTAGTTAATTTATATCTATCAGCATTTTATTGGCCTCTGGTATAGTAGTAGAAGATGAATTTGTATAAGAAAATATTGATCAGAATAGGATTAGTAACTTAAGTAAAAAGCTCAGGATAGCTTTAATTATAAAGTATTTGTGCAGTGTTTGTATAGTGAGAGTGACTAGTATTTGTGATATAATTGGTAATATTAGCTGTATATTGTAAGAGGCTAGAGCTGTGTTTATATCTTCTAAATTGTTTGATATAGGAGGTGAAAGTAGTTTAATAGCATTTGTATTACTAGAATTAGTAGTTGTAAGTACTTGAATTGGGATTAAAGAAGATCAGTATGGTACGACTGACTGGGTCAGTATGGTATAAATGTGATTTTACCAAATCATACCATACTGTTTTGCTTAATTGTCACATCCACTAGAAAACCTGGCCGGCATTAAATATA